TCGTCGTCTAAGCGCGATTCTGAATTTCGATTTTATCCGTCGATAATTGCATTGTCCAGATGAACCGATAAACCGAACAGGTAATTAATAATTAACGGTTAACAATTAACAGTGAAATTAGCGCGTAACTCATGTATCGCGAGATTTAATTGGACAAGAAGGAGGGTGGAGGGAGGTTTTAACGGTGGAAGAAACGGAAGAGGAGGGGTGCATGTGACGAACGAAGAGGAAGAGACAGATAAAGAAGCTGGCAGGTGGCGGCGCAACGGGACGCACGATTTCTTCGATGTCTTGCGCTGAATTTAATTTCCTTGCTAGTACACATTGGCTGGTAAATATTGCGGGCCCCGGGAGATCTTCAAACGTCGGTATAATTAAATCCGGCAAAAATGCTTCGTTCGATCGTGTCGCCGCCTTCGACTTTCTCGCTCTTTCTCGTATTGTTTCTTCTTCTCTCTTTTTGTTCATCTTGCGTTCGTTCCGCATTGCTCTCTAATTAGGCGCGGAAAGTTTCTGTTTCGTGAAGAACCGGTAACGATCGGCCGATTTCATAATTCACCAATAAAAATTGGTGCCTGAAAACGAGATTTAACCATACTAGTTGTAAATGGAACACCTTATAGATTGTGTCATCGGCTACTTTTGATTTTTAAATTTTGAAAGATTTTTATTAATATCTCGAAAATTAATAAGAACCCCTTCTCCATTTTCTCGAAATGTCTTGTCGATCCGTCACCAGAAACTTTCGGAATTATAGCCAAAATCAGGCCTAATTTATCTGGCCTGCTTGTATCTTCGAGACTATAATCAAAATTGGGCCTAATTTCCACTCTAGCAACAATATGCTTACATGTCTACTTTCATATCTTACTCCAGTTACGTTTTTATCCTTTTCTCGACGCCGACGGTGATTTCAATTAACGCAAAAATACTGGCGACCGAGGAATGGAGATTGAAATAGAATTCGTAAGCTACGCATCGTGAAACGAAACCAAGCAACCTCGATCGATTGCGTGTTTTCAACAAGAAAGCTGAAGAAGTTGCGATCGAGCAGTGTCAGTGATAAAATTTCGTTTGATTCTCGTTACGCTCAACCTTGGCTACTGCTGATTCTTCGCTGGCTTGTCAGAGAAGGGACTCGGGAGCGTGTCAGGTAGTTCGTTTGAAATGGAACTCGCAATTATCCCCTCTCGAGGCTTCGAGTACAAACGGTCCAAGATACGGATCGATTCCGCCTCGTTTCCAAGTAGCTTTTTTTTTTTCTAATTAACGGTGCGGTATTTGTAACAGGAGTCACGATAGACTGTAATTAACGCAAGGGATCGGTATAATTCCAATCAGCCAGTCACTCCTCGACTTATTTCCCGCGCTGCCATTGCAATACGCTGATGTTCTATTCAATATTCCATCTTGCGATCGCGTATGGCAAAGAAGGAGCATGATTGCACGACATGGTTGCTGTTTTCCTTTTTGCGAAATCGAAACCAGCCTCGCGGACAACTTTGTACGTTTTCATTTACGAGCCTCGCGATCGAACATCGCTGCTCGCCACTCGTCACTCTCCTTGCCGAAAAATCGGAGAATCGAATGGACGAAACGTAGCGCGATCGGCATAGTGGCCGCCGGCAAGGTTAAACGAGCCAACGTGAAAATAAATCGTCGAAGGGTAAATTGGATATTCCACGGAGAAGCGTGGACACACTGTGGATATACCTGGGAGCAGCACGGCTCCGAGTTGGCCGGGCGCGCAGTTTCCTGCCGAAAACGGTCAGGAATCGGGCACCGTTATGTCCTTAATGCGAGGGACCCGGCGAAATAGGACGACGTGGCACGACCCGTGGAGAGAAGAAAAGGCACTCGTTACGCGGGCCCGGTTACAAAAAGACAGAGAACGGTTTCGTATAGGTCGGCGATCGTGTCCCGAAGCGACACCCGCTGAGCTACCAGGAAGGACGATTATTGTTAATTAAGGAGGGCGTGTCGGGCAGGTCACACGCCGGTTTCACGGCCCTTAACGAAGGGACAGGTCAGCTCGTTTTATGAATCCTAATACCACCACCGTGTCTCCGCCGCCTCCACCAAAATTTCACCAAAGCATTTGCATTTCATCGCCAGACGATTCCCATCCACCCTGCCCTCCCTCTTATTCTTCGACTCGTCGCCTCTTAATGTAATTAGTCCTCCTATTCACCGGCCGCGTCGGATAATCCGACGTTAACGAGGCTGTTTGATAACCAATCGAACGGCCATTGTTCGGCCGAACGTTTTTCTCGGATTAACGAGGCTCCGTGGAAAGCGTGAGCCTTCCTTCCAGGAGAGGAGAAAACTCGTTTGCCGAGAGACGTGAGTCGTGCAGGATGATTTAGACACGAAGCTGCGTCTAGATAAAGATAGACAAACCTCTCTAGAGAGAGAGAATTGCTCTTACTTTGTAAATTGTCTTTGTACATTTTATCGTTTTTGTTATAAATTTATTGAGGATTACGGGACTCAAAATGGATATATAAACGTCGAATGAATTCGGACACACGTTGCTCGTTGCTATTCTTCATTTACTAGAGAGAAAAGCGCAGCAGAGTCTCTCTATTATAACAGAGAACATAGGTGTCGCTCTAATACAAAAGACGTTGGAGATTAGAACTCTCCGACAGTTTTCAATATTTTAAAATCCAACAACCGGGACACGATACAATTTTCTAACCTTTGACTTAAATTCTGATTATTTCGCATACTCTTCGCTCGGACCTCGTTAAATGAAAATTTATCTAGTTCGTGTGAATGTTCCACACGCTCTCTTCCCCGATTTCCTTCCACCGGAGCCGCGTTAGATCTCTCTCGGGGATGGTGAAACTGTTGGAAGATGAATCGCTCGCTTTCGGAGGAACGCCTATATTACGTGTTGACTGGTGACTGGAAGGTGTTGACGACGACAATTTAACGAGATTAAATCGCGCGAAGGGCGAGGAAAACGAGAAGATCCGATTGGATGCCGGAAAAGATCATGAAGGGGAGGGGGTGTAATTAGAGCGGGCTTTGTTCGTCGCCGCAGCGGACGCTTCGTTTCCGGTGACTGTGCTCCCCATTGAGCAACTTCCCGATCGAAATTATCTTTCCTATCGATTTCCCTGACTCCCTGTTTTCCCCTGGACCCTGCTCGAATTATAGCCCGGAAAATTAGATCTTTGACGTTGTCACGCCTACATCAGCCGCGAGAAATCTAGCCGCGCCACGGGAAACGGAAACGTAAATTCGCCGCAGGTTACACCCAGCTCGACGTTTCCTTTCTGCCGATTAACGACGCTTCTCAATCACGGTGTGTCGTAAAAAAAAAAAAAAAAAATCTAACTAAGAAAAAGCTAGAGATAAAAAGTCTGACTAGAACCAGAAGAAATTGGAGTATGTAAAAAGAGTCTAGCTTAGATCGTTTGTCAATCGATCTGATATGTCAGTCGAGAAACACTGCCGTGTGTAAATTAGAAACATTGAAATCACTCACAGTCGTCCGATACGTAATTACACCGCGCGAGCCCGATCGGCAAATAAACCTTGGGCGCTGATCCTCGTAAAATGTTTATTACGCCAATCGTCTGGGCATCCGTTGGCTGTCTGTAGTTACAACGACGACGATCGAGTACGTCTTTATCGCACGGTCCTTCTGCGAGGGCGAGGAGGACGAGGGCTTACTGCAGAGGTAGGGATGAGAAAAAGCGTCAAAGGAATGAGAAGCAGAACGAGGGAACAGAACGGTCGGCGAACAAGGCCACGTTTGCCACCCTTCGCCCTTCCAGGTTGCTGCTGCCCCACTCCCATCTGCAGCGACCGTGATGCTTTACTACCGTTGCATCCGGATTGAATTTAAATATTCCTTCGACGGGCGAACTCTTTCGCGAATTACCCTGTCGTAAAAGGTCCCTCATCCCCTCTTTCTCGTTCTTCTTCCATCTTCTCCTCCTTCCTCTTCCTCTCTGCGTTTCCCCCTCGCGAACCACCCGGCGTTTGGATCGTTTTGCTACGAACTGCTGTTTCATTGGAATCGCGAGCGAAGATCCGGAAGGGGCATAGAGGAAGAAGACATTATGAAATCGTTGCGCGTCGTCTTAAGAGGCCAATAAAATTGCATGGAACTCCGGCCGCCGGTGAAATTAATATCAGACGGCGCGCGGTTCCATCGCGGTCGAATGTAATGCCATCGTGGTCGCATTTACGACCAGTTCGGCAACTGTCGACTGGCCTAAATATTGTGTGTTTTCGAGATTTTTCGCCAGCTCGCGATCCCCCACCCTTGTGAAATAAGTTTCGAAGGCTGCTCGAACTTCCTCGCGAACGATTCGCCGATCGATTCTGTTGATCGATACTGTTGACTTGCCGCGGCAATTAGACTTTCATCGTTCGCAGGACGTTTCGAGAATTCCGATCATTTTTTTTTTTTTTTTTTTTTTTTCTGTTGCAGCAGATAAGAATTTGCATACCTCTACTCTCGATGTCAGATACGTAAAGTTTTTAAAATAGTAGTTTAGTGTGATTCGCAGATCTCGTGATGAATTGAATCGTCTATAAGTAGCCGGTACGTAATTATTCTTAACGTACCATCTCGTACGATCTCCATTTGTAATTGTAATTCGCAACGTCTATGAATATGCAGTCTGTCTAATTTGTTTCCTAACGTTTATATAATTTCTGTTACATTCGTAATAGACGTACATACATCGGTAAATAGAATAGATAAATAAAAGCACTCGACGTTGCCACGCAATTGACGGCTGACGTCACTTTGTACAAATCTTACGCAAAGGATTTCATGTACCTTCTAACATTTAACACTCGTCAAACACAGTTGTTCCACCAATTATCCCAATCTTTACAACATGTTTTTGCCCTTGGGCCTCTATCTGCAACTGCAGTCCGTGTTAACCGTCAACGCCACCACACCGGCCCGTCGACCATAAATAGGAAACAATCCCGTAAAACAACCCTCGTAACGTTGTTCTTTCTGGTTTCAGGTATCGGCAGAGAGCCGGAAGAAGCGAGCCGGTTCGAAAAGAGCCGCTCCCCAGTAAGCTTCCACGTTAGGTTAGGCCACGAGCTTTTGTTTTTCGTCGTGGGAAGCTGTTGGTGGGCTCGTCGGGCCCACCCTCTCATTGGTCAAGCTGGCGAGCGCTCTAACCGCTGGTATGAACCCCCACCATCCGGGCCACTCGGCAGCCTACCCGCATCATCCCTCGCTCTCCAGCAGTCCGCATCATTCCGGGCCTCATCACGGCTACAGTACCGGCGGCGGAGGCGGTGGAGGCGGCGGTGGCGGCACCACAACCACCCCGGACCTGCCTAGTCCCCATTCGCCGCCCCATGGGCCAGCAATCGACCCGGCTACCCCGTACGGCTCCCTCCAGCCTGGACAGGGCATGGGTAGCAACGGGCATCATCACAGCGGTGCTGGAATGATGACCGATCATCCACATCACCCTGGACACCCACACCCTCACTTACCGGGACATCCTGCTTATCCACCGGTCAATCACAACAACAATTGTACGCTTAAGGTAAGCTGCTTGACAGCTCGGTGGAGAGAGTCTAAGTGCGATACTGATAGACTCGGAGGTGGATTTATCACTTGGAAATACTGTCACTGTCACGAGTTTGTTGACACGGCGAGACTGTACATTCCTGAATACGCGTTTCTGTGATGTTTCTTCCTTTACCGAGGTTAATTTTAACCGTAGCCTGTAACTGAAACTAGAGACTCGACTCTGGTATAATATATGTATAGGGTGACTCATGTACGGTGTCCCAATGTTTTCAAATAATTTTTTACTCTTTCGCCAAACGGTAAAAATTGCTTTGTAGATCATTTCTCATTTTCCGTTCTCTCGAGTCAATTATTTTCGTCGTAGCGTTATTGTAGTTAACGTTTTTATTATTCTCACTCGTTGCCGTTTCCCTCCACACGTCCGTCACGGAATCAAAACGGCGAAAGGAATTAAATTAAATTAAATCTCTCGTTAACGAGGTTCGAACGTTTTCCGGCCAACTTCTTTCCATCAAGAGGGAAAAGGAATCGGTATCGCGAAACGGTTCTCCTAGTACGATTAAAATGCACTTTCTACGCTGGCTGGTCGCGCGAGGATGGTCACGAGAAAATGTTTTCAACCGGAAGCAGCTGGAACATGTACGCGACTCATTGTTCGTGTAATAACCAGTGTCGACCGTTCATTACGTAAAAATCCATTCCCTCCTCACCGTCTAATTTCCTCCAAACAATAATACCTGTTCCTAATCGCGAGAAACACCAATCGCAGGCGACGAATCGTCCTGGGAATCGTTCAAACAATCGACACGTCTCTGTTCGAATAACGATAAAGTTCGTAGTTCTTCTAAAGCTGAAATTTCGCAAGTTTGCAATGACTTCTCTATCGTTTCGCTAAGTCCAGTGAAACCTAAGTCGAAGTAACCAAGTCATTCAATGCAACTGAACCTCCATCCTTCGACTCGTGTCAACAGATCAACGTCCGAAAACGACTTCTCACCCCAGTTGAAAATCAGCGTAGTATACAGGTGAGACGAGCCATAGTTCGATACCAACGAATCTCGGTGGAGAGCGACGAAGAAGAGAGAAAGAGAAAGAGAAAGAGAGAGAGAGAGAAAAAGAGAATCGTGGCAGCAGGATCGCAGGCTAAAATTCAGAAGGCATTACCGATCTACGTGACCCTCACTTAGCTCGCCATTGACAAACGTAACAATATAGGCATTTACCATGGAGAAATATAATTGAATAGGGGCGGAGGGGACCCAGAGGAGACCAGGCTGCCCCTTTCCATCGAACACCGCCCCCTCCTCTCTCCGCGCAGCATGTTTCACTCGGTAATACTTGCCACGGTCTCTGTCCCACGTTCCCCTACCACGATATCTTTGTCCTCGTTCGACCTGGCCGGAGCTATGGATGGGTCCCGTCCCCTTTCAACGTTAGTTAGGTCCTTTCTAGGCTCACCTTTTTATTCTCCCCACCAGCAGGCCCACTCCTGCTGTGGCTGGCTGGGGTACCTGAACCCGGGGGCCTCTCGCCAGGCATTCAGAGGCCCAAAGCAGCCGCGGACCAGTCAGTTCGCTGCTGACTTCGGTCGGGATCGGTTCGCCTTTTTCTTCTCGCTCTGTGCATTCTGTCTCTCTGCGAACGTTTCGTCGTCGTCGTCGTCGTCGTCGTCGTCGTTTCTCTCGACGTTTTCTGACCGCTTTCTACGTTGCGTTGCCACGATCATTGTTACTACCAGGCAGAAAGAAGTTTTCGGATCCGGTCGCCATCTCGTATCGCGAACTAGGACCACGGGATGCGAGGCACGACGCTTTGCAGCGGATCGAGAGAAGCCTGTTGTCGGTTGCCGACGGCAACGCAACTTCGTCGCGACGCGTAGATTCCAAGAACGTGCTCCTCTCGGAGGTCCCGTATACACGCGTATATATAGTATATCGTGTCTCTCGGATGGTTCTTCCTGGTGATTCGGAGGAAGGTGATACGTCGGACAGGATCTACGTTTCGCGTGCAAAGTGAATCGAAACGAATGATATCGTCGTCGTTGCTGGTGTGAATACGCGAGCAGCGTTGGAGGAGCGGGTCGTTTCCGAGCAGTGTGTGTGTTGGAGGGAGCCGAGTTTGGTGATCATGGAGGTGCACGCGCATCACTACAGCGCCATCGCATCGCGGATGAACCAGATGAAGTGTTTCACCGGAGATAAAATTGTAAGAGTCAATTGTTCGTTTGATTTCGTAATTTGGCTAATCTGTTTGCGGCGTTTCGGTTGCGACAAACCGTGGCAATATCCGTGCAACCAACTGCCCGGATGGATGCTGTGGTTTGCCTATTTCATCCTGAATTATTCTTCTTCTCAGTGTCTTCTTCGTTAAGCGGCGAATCTGTACCACTCTGTTACGCAACTGTTTACGTTGCACAAGTCGAATATGAATAATTAACGGGGGATCAATGAAGCGTCGAAAAAAAATCGTTCAACGTCCGCTGACTCGTATCGAACCGGTTCTCGGTTGTGAATTCCGAGGCTAGACGGCCGAATTTCATCAGGATCTGGCCGGTGGACGGCTCGACGGTGATTCTAGTTGGAGCAAATTGCTCGAACGACTCCGGGCAGTTCCGATTGCCTTGATTTGTCCCGATGCTCGGGCTGTTTCCGATCACAGTCTCGCGTTAATGGTATCGTCGTGAATCGAACGTTCTCCCACTTAAATATGCATATTCATCGATCCCTCCATCCCTCCCCCCTCTCTCGCTCTCTCTTCCTCTCTCTCTATCCATTCAACGAAAGACAATATACCGTGCTTTTTTGCCCGTGTCGCGAAGATGGTTCTCATTAGGGAAACCGTGGGGGACTAATTAAATTTTTCCAACAAGCTAACGATTGCGCAACGCGGAGAGCGTTTCTCCTGTGTTTGTTTAAAATGACGCTGCTTACGTTTACTCTGATTTTCTCTCTCTCTCTCTCTCTCTCTCTCTCTCTCTCTCTCTCTCTCTCTCTCTCTCTCTCTCTCTCTCTCTCTCTCTCTCTCTCTTTCTCTTTCTCTTCCCTTCTCCACCGTTCTTCGAATTCCTTCCCTGGCGATTTGTTTCGACTCGTTGCATCAACACCGTAAGAACAATCGAATTCACGCTGATCAACGTGATCGTACCGTGTCCCCCTTGTTGCACGTCGTGATTCACCTCCTACGCGCAATCACGCGAGTTTCATTCGATTATAGTAACTGGACTCGATCGTAATTGCGTGGTAATTGCGAAAGAAGTGTCGTTAGGTCGGACAAAAAGCGGGAAGGAAAACGGTTTTCCCCGTGGGTCGGACACGAGTATCGAGTTTACCGCGTGACGCTAATTCCTTCGATAAATTACCGGCGCTGCTGCACGCGTCGCTTTCTAAGGACACGCTTCTTGTTTCTTTTTTCTTTTTTCAACGTTTCCCCGAACGGGCCACCTTGAACTCCCCTCCCCCATCTCTCTCTCTCTCTCTCTCGCTTATCCTGTCTATCTAGCACTCTTTTTTTTTCACTCTCAACTTGGCGTTATATTTTCTTTTCTTCTTTCTTTTTTGCGGACTCGCGTGGAAACAAACGTCGCCGTGGTCGCGATATTCCGCGAGATCCAAGTCAAACGATAAGCCACACGATCGTTGTAAGCAAATTACGACATCGCGATATTGCAAGAAGCTTTCCAAGGGGATCAGAGTTTGCGCGCGGCGCTGGTATGCTCGATTTTGAATTTGTCGTGTCGCGGTGATCTTTCGGGCCCTCTCGTTCGTTCGCGCGTTCCTCAAGTCTCCAGGCTTGTTCCGCCAGATTATCATAGAAATCGTTCCAGTAAATCAAGCAACGCTTGGACTTGGAACCAGTTGCGCTCGCTATGTTTTTCGAGGCTTCCACGCCGTTCGTCGCGCGAGTAATAACGCTGGCACTCGCTCGGAAGCAGTTTCGTTTCGCCGAACAGGTTGCCATTGAACGGTTTTATGGAGACATTTTCTCGTTTGATCGATTCATTCGTTCGTCGCCTGGTGAAATTATTTATGACAAATTTGTTCCGAGCACACTCGTTTTTTTTCTATTCGGACGCATTTTGATCGGTCACACTTCCGGTATAATCTGCGAGGGGGGATTTCCAATGCGGAGTTGGAAAATTTATTCGAGTCGTTGTAGAGATTTTTGTCACGTAATTTTTATCAAATTTCAAACAATATTTTGATATACACATTTATTTCTTTCATTTTCTTGTTGTTTAGTAATTATATCGTAGTTGTTGCTAAACATTTTTAACATATACTATACATATGTCCCCAATGTCATTTTTTGATATTGTACAAAATTTTATTCTATCTAAGAGTTAATACAGTTTTAATCTGTAATGTACTTTAACAATAAGCACACTAAATATCAATATATTTAACTAAAATATAGTTTATTTAATAATGAGATAAATTATTGTCACTGGATGGCAATGTTTATTAAATTTGAAGAAAACGACATTACTTATGGATACTTCTAACTCTATACATAATATATTTATACATAATATTTGTGATTATCAATTGTTTAAAATTCCTCTTTCATAAAGTCAATTTTCGTTAATATTCTAAATTCTTTCCCATCCATTTGGTTGATATAACAGAGCCACTCATAGCAGCATAATCCTCTGATTATTTTAAACACATCTCTAATTTTATCTGCAATATCTTTCATTGCCTCTTTGTTTCAAATTATATTATAATGAACGTCTTCAATATCTATGCACAATATTTATGTTTATCGATTGTTTAAAATTCCTCCTTTACGAGTCAATCTATAAATCTTCTTTATTCCCATTCACAGTAGCAATCCCTTATTTATTTTAGATGTATCTCTAATTTTATATACCTACTTACTCTTTTATTGTTTTGTTTTATTACTGTAGTCGTCAGTGAACATCTTTAATATTCATGTATAGTATTTATATTTAATGATCGTTTAAAATTCATCTATCACTAGTCAATCTATAAATCTTCCTCAGACTTCTTTATTTCCATTCATTTGATTGATATAACAGAACCACTCACAACAGCAACGCTTTAATTATTTTATTTAATTTTGTCTGCATACTCCATACTCACCTCTTTCATTCAATCTTGTTATTTTAAATTATATTGCCGTTCTGTATCTCCGTACAATATTTATATGTTCATTGATCGTTTAAAATTCGTTTCACAAATCAATCTATAAATCTTTATTTCCATTCATTTCGATCGATGTGAACAGAACACACTCTATAATAGTGTCCTCTGTTTATTCTAAATATATCTTCAATTTTATCTGCAACACGTCAACGATATTTAACGCGCGTTCTCAAATTAACCAGTCATCCATTTATCCAGCCAGGCGTTCAACACGGTGGAACTTCAGTGCCTACGATCACGCTCGCCTCGAATTCCGCGAGTTTCAATTTTAATTTGAAGGAAAAATACGCCGCGTTAACGTGTCGTGTCATTTAGACGCCGAATTGATTTCCCTCGAGTCGAACAGTGAATCGAAGAAAAGGCTTGAAGTGGCCGGTCTTTAGCGTGGCTCGCTCGGATCCGTTTAGAGTTTATTATGCGGCTGACAGAAATTAATGACGTTCATGACCGGCAAGAAAAGGTACGGGCCGCTTGAATTCGAGCTTATTGAAACGACACTCCGCCGCTTGCCAGCAAATTGGAAGCGTCTAAATGTGCAAGTTCCCAGAAAACTATAATACTCCTTGGACCCGTTTGTACGTACGTACGTATGTATGTATGTATGTATGTATATGCATATGTACTCTCGTGCTTTCTTTTTTTTTTCTCCTTCTTTTCAATTTCCTGTAATAAAAGATTCGCTTTGAAGATAACCTATCCCCTTAATTGTTCCGCGCGTTAGTCACGCTTCACGTGAATTTTTACTTTGAGACAGATTACGATCGCACCGCGGTGCCTCGAATTTATCCACCACAGGATCCACGCGAACGGACGCTCGATCAAACGAAGGAAAATTTCCAAGGCTACTCTCTCTGGTCAAAGTGTCGCACCGAGAATTTTTTTCTTTTTTTCTTTTCTTTTTTTTTTTTTTTTGAGATATATCTGTCACGAACGCCTCGAGCGTGTTATGTTTCTACATTCTGAAAGTCCATTAGCATTGAAATGGGACGCGATCGTCATGATCGTATTGGTAAAGTTTGAGACAAATCGGAGAATGTACATAGAAGTTACGTTACGAGCAAGTATAGAGACTGTAAATATTAATAAATATTCAGTAGGGCAATTTTCACCACTTATTAAATGTTCAAAGTTCACAATTGTTCGTGCTTATATATTAATCACACATAAACGCATTTCCCAGTCGATTTGAAACAAAAAAACGTCACTAATAACGAAATTTGAAATTCTGACTCACGCGTCGTGAAACGTGTTTCTAACCTGGCTTTTGTAAACCAAACAGGTATACGATTGTTTCTACAGACAGCTGAATGTTTCAAATTGAACGAAAGAAACGAAAAAAAAAAAATACGAAAAGGACACGACTTGCAAAAGTAATTTTTTTAGACATTTTAAAGCAGCGTGGTAGATAAAATTTAGATAATTTAATTAAGAAGTACACGCGATATCTTCTTCAAATCTTTGTGTAGACTTCGACTCGGGTAGGTTTCGCTACATAGAGAACAGCGACAATTCTCAGGTTGGTTTATCGGGATAGCCGTATATTTTAATAATCAGCGACGTCGGCCACGATTATTCACGCTTACCGGCGTTTATATAATCGAAACGACTAAGTGTTCGCCGAGATTGCTCGTTTGACGCATCACGATGATTTATCGTCAGTTAATGACTTTCGATTTCGTATTAATTATAGCAATGCCTTTCTCTCTCTCTCTCTCTCTCTCTCTGTTCTTCTCTGTCTCTCTCCTCGCCTCATCACCGGTTTCTGTTAATAGAAGCATTGTGGGTCGTCGCGAACTCGCGCGTTGCAACGTGTTATTACGCTCGACATTTTCGTTACGTAATCGGCCAATGGACACACCGATAAAACAGCCAAAGTCTTGGCCGATTAAAACAAGAAATACACCATCGGCCGTTTAATCGGCCTGCGTAATTACGTAATTCGCGTAATTACGATCACGTGTAATTGCGTTTGCGTTAATGGGGTGCACGCTCGGTTACGAAACGGTGGAAAAGTCGCTGCAACTAACAATGCAATGATTTATCGTCCTCCAAATGTGTACTCCTCTCCTCCTTTTTTTTTCTTCTTTTTCTTTCGTTTTCTTTCTTTCGCTTTCGTAATTCCACGGAAACGACGAAGAAAATTTGTACGGCGGAGTGATACTGCAGGTGATTTCTATACCGGGGAAAGGCAGGCTTTATTGAAGAACCAATTTGTGGTAAATTAACTTTTACGACTTCTTCGCCCATTAACATTATGAAATATGATGATACTTTATAATTCAGTTACTGCCTCGCGCAGACCATTATGTCTTACAGATATTTTGCGATAGACCGAAGATACGAAATGATACGAAAGCTCAAAGGTATATACATACATACATACATATATATATATATATATATATATATATAAAAGAAACTGGTTTTATTATACATTCCTTGCGCGCTGTTACTACCTTTGTGGTTAGCAATACGCTGTCTTTCTTAATCAAAATGTCTCGTCTGCCATTTCGTAACCGGAGCTATATCATTTTCTTTGCGTGTTTCGTCGTTTAATTAAACATATTTAATTATTATTTCACAGCAGTCCGCATTAATAGAACTTTACTTCGAACGCTGGATAGGGCATTGCATTTTAATTAAGGAAGCCGGCACAGTGTTTTCGTATTTATTTCGTCGAGTCGGCAAATGTGTCTCTATGCTTCTTATTCTACTTTCTGCACCGCGTGTAATAAACCCCACACTATGTCGGAAAATTTCGAAAAATTTCCAGCAGCAGGTGGGCGGGCATGCAGATCCCACGTTCGTTTAATTAGCAGACTATCAATCGGAAATTGTTCCATGTATTTTCACACCTATGTATCCGTGAAAGTAGCATTCGCCGCTTTGTTTGGACAAATCAATTTCCACTTCGCGCCCGTTGGTTGGGCGAAGTTTGCAGCTCTCGGCCCCGCAAGAAGTTGAAGTCACCGAGTAACTTTGTTCCTTCCTAATTGCGTGAGCCAATTATTATTCGAGAACTTGCCCGGGGAAACACTATTTCGAAATCCAGCAACATTATTTACTCTGTCGCGGAAAATTCTTTAGAAAATTCTACTGGGTTGTCGCCAGAGCAAGTTCAGGCTAAATTCCTTGATACATTTCCAGCCTTTGTTCGTCATACGAATAATTTTATAAATATTGGAATTAAACTCTGCAGATCATCGTTATTTATAATTTTTTTTAGGAAATTATGTTTCTTCTGATCTATATCATTTTTGTATATAATCTAAATATATTGGGTATATTTTATATAAACATGTACATGTAAATATTTTTTATAATACATTAATTTTTTTAACATAAATACTTCGCACAAATGGAAGATTTACCTCGTTGAGACAAAGTTCTAAGTATTGTAAAAAAGAAATTTATTGAAATTTGATAATCGCTCAGATGTATCTTTACCGATTTGGCTAGCTTCAAGCTTTAAATTAGTCATTTGACAAACATTGTCTAATAACCTATTTTTATATTTTAACTAAACTTCTATGAAACTTCGAATTAATCAAAAAATTCCACGATTTGTACGTCAAATTCACAGAACGTAGACTGTCCTCTTTTGGTGAATTGTAAATCTTTTATTTTTCAAAGGGAGACTTTCGATTGTTGACAATAAATAATGAATTACGCAAATGACGAACGGTGAAGAACAGGTCTCTGGTTTTCTGTTGCAGCAAGAAGGTGGCCCAAGTGGACCAACGGGGATCCAGCAGTGTGCCGGTTGCGGCGGTCAAATAGTCGAAAGATGGCTGTTGCTGGCGATGGATCGGTATTGGCACAACGGTTGCCTCAAGTGCTCGTACTGTGGCGCGGCACTGGCGGAAATCGGCCACTCGTGCTACACCAGGAGCGGCATGATCCTCTGCAAAAGCGACTACAGAAGGTAAGGGTGTACTCACGTTTCTCTTGAAAGTAGCCCGGCCTTCCATTCACCTACCTAATGCCACGAGTATCGTTGCGAATTTGTGAAACCAACTACGAAATCCGTGTAGCGATCGCGAGATTCCAATGACTGGCGTCGTGAATCGAAAATATCAACAATTGCCTCCTTTCAGCCGAAAACTCGTCATTAGGAAGTAATTAGGTATTAGATTTCGACCTTTGAAAAATATTAGGAACACATATTTTTCATTCTTTGTCGATAGACTACGTTTGTTCAAATTTTCACAATTACTTTTAAAAATGTTTACTTTAAATACTATATAAAATAAACTATATCTACTATATATTTTAATGTATGAAGTAATATATTGCATATGAAGTAAATATATATATACTATAATATATATAAAGTAAATATATATACTATATATACTATAATATACTATATAAAGTATACTATACATATACTATATATACTATAATATATATAAAGTAAATATATATACTATATACTGTTTATGTTACTTAAAAATTTTTGAAAATATTAACGTGAATTAATCTGTTTCGCTAATGTTTTTCGACTTTCCCATTTCTGCATAAACATCCTTAATTAACTGACTCGATCGGAACTCTTTCGACTCGTTGATCGAACACACGAGCCAAACTTTAAAAACCTGTACGATCGCGAGATTCGTTCCAATCTCCGCGGGAATACGTTTATCCAAGTACAAATTACGTTTTACGTACGGCGTGGTAACATAATCAATTGTTGGAAACGCTGGCGTTACTTAGGGGGATGACCCGATTGCTCGTCTGAAACGTCCCAACTCGCAGCCGTTGATTGATCGCGAAACAGGATTACACGGCACGAACGTCGCGCTTCGAGCTTCATTAAATCGCAGACACGCAATTGCTCGACCGATTAATTCCGTGGCCGCGGTATATTTCGTATCCAGCCTCCTGGTTCGATTATTAAACTACTCGTCCACGCTGGCGACCAAGTCATTCTGCGTGCGGAACGAAAACTTCGAGGCTTCGTCGGCGAGAGAGGGGCAAAAAAAAA